GCAGCTTCTCCGTTTTCATTTTCACTTCTGGATTCTTCCTTTGACCTTTTTTTTTCCCTTTATAAGACTCCACCTCTTCATCCTCTCTCAAAAAAACACTGCATACTCTCTCAAAACATTATGGTTGTTTCACCTCTCTTAGATTACTGGTATCTTGGATCAAAATATGACCTCAAGCCGTCAAACAGTATCTTCACAGAACACATCCATTCAGAAATGGTCACTTTAAAGGAAGATCTTGGGCTGTCAAATACTTTGCTTCTGTCAAGCTTACTATAGCCCAAACGCTGTATTATTATTGCTATTCCCAGCCAGATTACACTAGCTACTTTTTCTGCTTTAATTGCTGTATAAAAGACAATTCTCCCTCCTGTTTTAGGCCACCAAAACTAGATTCTTTTTTATTCTTGCCTCCAGACAACATTTTAAGTCAGGCACTTCTGCATATCACTCCTGAGGTTCCAACTTCTTTGACCATACTGGTAAAACTCATTCTCCAATCATTTTGTGCTTTCAATACTGCAGTCTCTTCCTCTCTGCACAGTGTTTTTTGTCTTTTTTTTTGTGGTTTTCTGTTGGGTTTTTGTTGGGTTGGGTTTTTTTATTAAGTAATTATGCAAATGCACCCAAAAAAAATCAAAACAAAATATCAAGATATTAAGTGATCTATCCAGAGATCCCACACAAAGCTGTAAATTCATGCCACTAGCTTTGTGCAACATTAGATGCACAGTAATATATTAATATTTAAAAAACATCAACTTATTCTATTTCTACACAGAGATTTCTTGAGAAAATGACTTGATGTAGGATCTACATATAGAGGTGCTTTGGAAACAGGAAAAACCTATGTAAATAGTGAACATACGATAAGTGTCTTACTGCTTGCACCTCTTCATCGTTAAAAGGAGTCACGTACATGTGGTGCAACAGATGCTTCCTGAGGCAGATAGCCTCCCACAACATGACTAAAACATCAGTAATAAGTTCTCCCTTTCACTTACCCTTTTACAGCCTACTCTTTAAACCAGTTCAAACAATTGCAATCTTTTGTACATTAATAATAAAGTAACAATAGCAGGAGCTAGATTTGATGGAGAAATTCATATTAGCCTGCCCTAAGGGTAAATATAGTCTTTTTCCACATCCTTCCTTATTTCTCTTCTCTCCTGTACCATGCTCTTTCGCTTTCACACTCTGAGAGTCTACTTTACAGAAATTAGTAACTGCACAGTAAAGCATACTCTAAAGTACAATACAAATTTATTACCCAAACTATTTGGGTTTTTTAAAGTTAACACCTCTTGTTTTGAAGTACATAATTCTACACTGAAAATTCAGGGCAAGTATTAGAAAGTTACGTGAATCCTGAATGGAAAAAAAACCACACACACCAAAAAAACCACCAAAAAACCGCAAAACAAACAAACAAAAAACCCCAACAATCACACATATGCATAGCTACAACAAAAGCTCTTCTTTCCAAGTATTTTGTAACATAAAATTAGAAAAGTATATTTTAGTGAATTTAAAAGTTCATGTTTTTTCATCTTTATAAAACTCTCTTAAGTTATACCACTTAGTGTAGCTTTGGTAACAGACCAAAGAATAAGGAAAAAATATCTAACTAGTCCATGCTCAAACGAGAGCCCCTCTGTCTTCCTTAGAAGACTTCAACAAATTCCTCATGTGTTTCAATGACTAATAAATGCCATGCTAAAAATTTAGATCAAGTTTCCTCATATCAATTCATCAAAGTCAAATACAAGTGTTTTTCCAGTCCACACAAGGTAGATCCGACAGGCTTCCAGAATTAGAAAATTTCTGAGGAAATAAAGTTTCTTATAAAAATTCAAATTTTCTTATATCCTAGAGAAATTCTTTCTGTACAGAATGATTTTATGTGTTACTTCATTTCACAAAGGGAAAAGAAACGACAACATAAAACAGGGTGTGAAGAACATTAAGAAAAATACACAGTGTGCAAATGAAATGTCTGGAATCACTATTGGGAGTTCTCAACTGGATTAGCATAATAAAATAGTTAAAATAAATAGTTCAACATTTTTAGCTCTTGTTATCTTTCCATCTCAAACTAACTTATTTACAAGAACTTCCTTCCTTGGTGTAAATGTACACTTGTAATCTGTAACACTGTTAGTGCTGGTAAAATAGCAGAAAGTTACTGTACTTTGTCACATTTTTCCTGTCAAATAAAAAGCCGATGAATATCTATTCAACGTATTCAATCTACTGCTCTTCCAGGAGTCTTGCAAGCAAATACCATACAGCTTGAAACAAGAAATCCATTACCCTGCTGCTAGGTAAAACCTCTGTATTTCATGTTGTGGCAGATGCACCCACCCTACTAAAGACCTGAGAAAGACCCAACAAAAGACAGTGCTAAAGTTTCTGGCCCTGGTGGTGCCAGGACTGCCTCCCCCTCACAGCTCATGTCTGGTCCACACAGTGGGGGTCAAAGGCGGGAAAGTTGGGGTCCTCAGCCAATAGGGAATGACACGACCGTGTATTGACCACAGATCAGATTCGACCAGGGTATAAATGGGGCCCCGCCGGAGGACTCATTTGAGTCGGTCCTCCTCGGAGCAGCGGGTCTGCAGCTGGGGACTCTCCCTTGAGTTGGGACGCCACTTAAGGTAACTTCTCGAGATTGAAAGCCCTCCCTTTTTGGTGAGTGAGTGAGTGCACATTTTGGATCGTTTGGCCTAAAACTTAAGAATTCTTAACTCAGCCGTGTCTGGTAGTATTCCCAACCAGCATACTGAACCTGTATTTGTTGAATGTCAGTGGGATGTTGTTTTGGTGAATGAAGTTTTGTCTGCTTCATTTCAATTGCAGATTAAAGCTTGTTTGAGTTCATTATCTGTGTGCGTGTAGCCATTTTGGTGCGATTCCGTGACACATGTGAGCTTCACTTTTAATAGAGGGAGGTGGTTAATAATCAGTCCTCATTCTTAATCAAAACAGGCAGCATTACCCACTGTGACAGAAAAAAAAAAAAATCTACTTTCGAAGTAGCATATTAGAACATATTTAGTATATGTTCAGACCCATTGTCATCAGGTAACCACATAACTATGTTGTTAAAATGTCAGATGTTTTAGGATTATGGTAAAGATCCAGTAAGAGCACTACAACAAGAACATATACATTACTAGCTGAACTTGCAATTAAATTGCATTCTCATTAATTTCAGGTTTGATTTTAACGTCTTAGAAGGCAGGACTCTGCAAACATATTCAACACTGACTTTCATGGAAACTATATGTAGAAAAATGCTAATTTAAGGTTTTAAATTAAATATTTCTTCAATAATTGAAAATGAGGAAGCAGAAAAAAGGGCTACATTTCAGTCATCTTATTTTATGAACAGTGAGTATTCTGAATATATAATATCACTCATCTCTCATTACACCAACTATAACAGCATCATTCATGAATTGGTCTAATTTGAATAATTTTAACAGGTTTTAATAGTGGTTTCTGTTGCTTGGATTTATCTCAACATTCCTCTGGACTAGGAAGAGACTTAACGTCAGATACAAAGATGGTCCACTGGAAATCAGGGCAGATCTCTTGAACACTAATAAAAAGTATCCAATGTATAAATATTTCAGTATTTTCTTTTAACTTACTTAACTTTCACATATAAGAAATGCAGCACAAGTCAAGAGAATCACACAATGCTGAGAAGCTTCTCAGAAAGCTCACACTCCATCAGTAATGTTTCAGTTTGCAGACTGGGTTGTGCCTATCCCAGACACTAATGACAATAATTAAGCACTCTGCTATAACAGAGCTAGACTACTTCCAGTGCCTGAACTACCTCACCATGACACTCCCTAAGGTACAGAGCAGATATTTTCCTCCAAAGTTAAAAAGTACACTATTTTATTTATTCTGGATCATTCTCTCCATTGTACCATATTCCTTCAGAAAACTCCTATCAACCAAGCAAGCATTAATCACTGCTGATGCTGGTTGTACATAGTCACACAGAAAAGTAAGTGGTAACCCATTAAACTTGACAATGATAATTCACAACTTAACTCGTTCAGGGAGAATGATCTTCCCATAGATGTTAAGAAATGGGCAGAGAAATCAGGGCTAGAGTCCTCTCCCTCTGACCTCCAGTGAGAACGGGCTTCAAAACTACACTGCAATAGTCTTATTTTTAGAGGACAGGAGATGAGGGACATCTTCCACCCCCTTCCTTTCTCAAGCCTGCACCTGACAACTTGCAGAAAGCAGAAACAAGAACAGTGAAACTACATGGATATTTCCATTCCTACCAAGTAATTCTGAGAATCCCGACGGTAGAGTTGGTAAGTGTAAAGGCAAGTTCTTTGCCAGGACCACCAGCAGCCTGCCTAACAAGCTCATTCAAGCACTTAAGCACAAAAAACTTCAGGCAGGTCTCAATAACCTTCCTAGGTTCACAGAACTAAATCTATCATTAACCTACAGCAAGAGGTACTTACTACTTACCTGCAATATGTAAGCAAAAACACGTAAGAAAGCTTCCTAGACTGTTGTATGTAACAGGTAGTGTTTTGTACCATGAAGCGCCTGGAACGGATGTAAGTTAAACAGGAAAGCCCAGCAATGCCTTAAGCAAGAAAACTTTAGAGCAAAGAAACTAAAATACCAAGCGGCAGATCACATCAAGTCTTAGTTACCTCACTGCAGGCTAAACCAACATCATTTGCCTACCTCTTACACTAATCACAAAAACTAATAACGTTTATACATAGTTGTGTAAAACTTTCCTTTAGGCTATAACAACGGACAATAATATTCCATTTCAGACAGTTCTAGAAATTAGATTTTTCTTCCACATTTGGCTGTGGGAAGGGCTGAATTAAGAAAAATAGCCAGCGACTACTCAAGTGCTGGAATATAAAGAGCAACTATATAAAAGAGGGGAGGGGGGAAAGACAGACCTGACATATGCACAAGTGAAGGCTTTTTACTCCTACCTCATCACTTTCATCTACTTCAATACCACCATCTTTGTCATCATCCATTTGCTTATGGATCATGCGGAGAGCTTCTAGGCTGAATCGGTCCTCCTCAGTAAAGCAAGGTGGGCTGAGTGAACTGCAGGGATCTAAAGTGAAGGGAAAACCAAAACAAAAGAGAAATATCATCTACTGTCATTCTAAAATATAAAGCTCCCAAGCAAGAGAAAGGACTTAAATTTCTATATATGTGTCCACGTACTTCACTGCACATAGCCACCAGATCACAGATGTCAAATTTAGCTGTAGAATAATAATTCTCACCAAAAAAGTGAAGGGGTGGGGAAGAAAAAAAACCAAACCAACCAACCAACCAAACAACAACAAAACGCAAAAACAAACCTTTTTTATCCAGGAAGGAAACTGAAGGCTAGAATAGTTTGACTCTTGTATTTTTTTTCCCCACTCCGTAACTGCTATCTCCACCTCGTTTTCTACCTACCAGGCACCCTTAGTAATACAGCACTGCAACAGCAAATAGAGTCACTGTGTTTTCCAAACTCCTTTCTGAAAGCCCGAGCTAAACAGAGCACAGTGGAGGAAGAGAAAAATAAATGTCATATCCTATAATCATAGCTTCATAAACAAAGGGATGGTAACCACACACCAGATTAAAGTCGAAGTAGATAATACTACTGAATGCAAAATATTCAAGAACTGCAAGAGAAGAAAGCCCATCACAAAGAAAATTCAGCTGATAACAATACATGATATCTCAGTCCTGCATGCTCTGATCAAAAACGGCAGTCACTGTGGAGCAGGATTTCAGGTCAAAAATAGTATGGATTCATTTGCATTCGTTACTGAAGGTTCACGATTTGTGCGCATCTGATGGCTCTGCTTCCACCCTGTCAGATTGTTGTATCTCTGTTCTTCCCCTTCCACAAGGCAAATGCCAAATAGTCTAAAATTCTACAATGCATGATGATCAACCACCATTAAAGACTGGTCTTTCACAGACCTCAGCATTTTCATGAACTTTGATGTACTGAGCACCATCAAAGAAGAGAAGGCGGAGAAGGATCCAGAAATTCTTTTTTTTTTTGAAAGTTCAGCTTTAAAAATCTAGTGAATTCCCACTGTAATAGCAATTATAAAAATGCACTGACTAGTCCCATAAACTGGTACACTCCATTTTAATCATACCAATGCAAATACAAATTGAGGCAGCATATGAGTAATTTTTGCTTCATATACTCTATCTAGATTAAGCTTTCATGTTACTATGGAATTTATTAAAGGCTCATTTATAATAAGCAGTGAAAAGGAGGCACATATAGAAATAGATAGGATCAAGAGTTTGAACAGAAAGATAAATTTATCGTGTTAATATTTTCATACCAGTTGAGTGGCATGATTCTGCTTTTCTGTCTTTATAATAAATTCAAAAATAAGTCTGCAAAGCAGAAGTACAAAGGTAGCAACCATAGCATTAGCTGTAATCTCAAACACACATTAACAGGACTGATCCCTACAGCTAGACAGGAGTCGATGCATTCTTACTTTATACAGCAGTTCTATTACACAGAAGTTAACAGTTGCCAGTTATCTGGGCCTATGTATCAATTTAAAATTAAAAAATAAAAAAACACACAAAAAACCCCCACACTTCACTGACAGTGTCCCAGAACAGAGAGATGCTGTTTTCAGAGCTACTTTGTATAAATAAGAAAGAAAAATTACTAAACCAGGCCAACCAGTTTTCAGCTTTGGAATGCAACTAATATTTCTTGGGAGGGTAAAAAAAAAAAAAAAGTAAAACTGAGTAACTGTTTTACTTTTTTAAAAAAAAAAGCCTATATTATTTGTCCACTTTTGCTTCATTAGAAAAGATATAATTTGCAGAATGCACAGCCTTGACATTTTTGCCTTGCAATGAAAAAAACACTAGCAGAACTTTGAGGTGATTCATAATTAAATCTCAATAGCCATGAACAAAGAATACGACACTACTATACAAATATCAGATGAACCATCTTTGCACTGCAAGATTAGATCCATACTACATTTTAAGTTAAAAGAAAGCATAATTGTCAGAACAGACAAAACCCGTCCCTCAAATACTCCCCAACTTGTTTAATTTGTAATTAGTTCTATTCTTACATAGAAGAAAACATCAGATAAATAGCGTTCACAGTTACTAAGCACCCACTCAAATGCTTTTCCATTTTGTTCAGCTGAAAGCCCAGCTTTTCAAATCAAAAAGTTTTTCTGAGAGTACATTTTCTCAACGCTGAAGTTGATTGGTTTCTTAACCGAGTACTTATTTATCTTAAATACGTCTTTGTTCGTTTTTGAAGGCACTGAAAAGAGCTATGAAGGCGCTTTAAAGAGCTACGGCTCTTCTACAGAGGTAAACAGGCTGCTTGTGCTTCAGATGTCCTACATGCTGGCTCCAGTAACACTTGGTATCTCTCTTAAGAGATGACAGAATTCCAGTTGCTCCTTTTGGGACTGAGAAACATGGAGTAGGACCACAGCTTAACTGTAATAAAAATTAACCTGCTCTAAACAGAATCCAGATTTACTTTCAAGCTTATGCATATGGTAAAATTAAACATTCCCAGACTGACAACTTGTTATCGTCCTCTTCAGAGAACAATATCAAAACAACAAGAAATTGCAAAGCCACAACCTAAAGAATAAGTGAAAAGCATTTCACAAGCATACCTATAGAGCCCTACCAAATCCAAAAAACAGCTGATGGAAATTTAATCATCTGTAGCTCTGCAGAAGAGTCTAAAATGCAGTATTTTTGCCTCACTTGCACGGCAAAAACAATTCAAACTAATACTCATGAAGTATGGTTAGAAACTTCTCAAACATCCAGTTAATTAAGATAAGAGGCAAGAGGAGAAGTCTCAAGACACAGCAAGCACCATAAATATAGGCCTGAGGCCCCGCAACAAATTATAAGACTAATTGATAATGTATTTTTCACTATTAATCCATCTTATTGAAGAGGTTCTGGGATTCCAAAGTTAACTTCACCTCTGGACCAATTTCTCTGTCCTAGTCTGGTGTGTTGTCATAAATACACTTCGTCTAACATCATCATCACTGGAAAGAGCACAAGAAGTACACTCAAGGAGTGAATATAAGAGCTTAGGATTTGACCCTTCCTTTAACAAATAGAACAGAAGAATTAGCAAAGTAAACAAGAGATACAGCTTAGACGAGGTGCACAAGAGGCATACAAACACACCATATGTCACTCTAAGCAGGAGTTATTTTACAGCCCAGTGTTCAATGTTGCTCAGAAGTGAGGAAGTTTCAGAACTTCTGGTCATAAGGAGGGAATTTGTTACTAAAAAATTAAATATCAAATTTATGGCTCAACAAATGTGGCAGAAGCTGTTGAACCAAACCTTCTTCCTGTCTTGAGTAGCTCAGTAACTGCCTTTTAGCTCGGAGGCAAGAGAAGAAAATAGTCCTCACCAGTCCAGAGAGCTGTGCAAAGCCCTGGGTGCAGGCAGTCCTATAGGAGAGAGTTTGATAATGAACCGAGTACAGACTTATCCAACCCACTACGAAGGAAGCTTTGTATTTACAGATAAGGGGAAATTAACACAAAGTGTTTTGGGGGCCTTCCCCTCCCCACTACTTCCCCTCCCCCCCCCCCCCCCCATCTTCTCCCTTTTTCATTGACACTAAAATAAGACTACAAGAAAAACTTCAGTTCAAAATTCTCCAAAACTTTAGAACCACATCTGTTTCATCCCATTTCCTGAAAGCAACAGTAGTTAAACTTACAAAGTGACACCATCAACACAAAGTGGTAAGGAAAATTAATTACACCCATATCCTCAAGCGCTCATGACACCAAAGCCGTTGAAATTTATTTTAGGAATACTCCATTTGAGATGGTCCCAAAGCAAAAGGCTATAGGCACCTGGCAGTATTTCATCTACCCCGCATTGATTTTTCCCGAACTGTTGTGAGCATAACAGACTTCAGAATGAAAAGGACTGACAGACCAACAAATAGCTAATAATCCTGCAGGGTTCTTACACACATACCCTTTTGCATACGGACACTGGAGCATAAACCAGATATGCACCTCCAATTTAAAATTTAAATGTCTTTAAATTTCCCTACTAGCTCACCCAGAGCAATTTAGTGGATGGGAGTTATTTGGAGAGACTGGCTACTACACATCATTTTTGTTCTGTAAGGATGTTCAGCCTTCACTGTGAAGTACTAGCACTTCTTTATGGTAACATATGGCAGTCCTACAGAAGCCTGCAGTGTTTCTGTGACTGCCTTTTTCTGATGAATTCATGAGCGTACCATATTCTGCTAGTTTTATTATTCCTTGCTCCTAAGGAGCCATCTGGGATAAAGGGAAGCCTCACAGAAAAGGCAAGCACTACGCATGGGTGTCAGCTTAAGTACATACTCTCAGCTTAAAAGTAACTATGTTTCAGCAAGCCATGATGACAGAAGTAGGACTTATTTGCATTTTCCAAACCAGGTGGCCACAATATCCCCAGCCCTCAGCAAAGTCATCTTCATCTAACTAGGATTTTTATTTCCTTACATTTCTTTTGTGCTTTAGTTTTACACTGTAATACATTACAGTTTCTTCAACCATTCCATATCATTCTTTTCAATGCAAAAATACTTGTAAGATAACAACGGTTTTTAAAGACCTGAGTACAAATCTGAGCATCAGGGACTGCTGAAATTACAGGAAAACAAGTGTTTTCAAGAATTTCACTAGATGTTCAAAACAGCGATTCACAGTAAAAGCAACAAACGTGTTACTTTCATCTTAAATCCTTACATAAGATGTCATTAAAATCTTCAAAAGCTTGAAGAGACAGCCTCAGAGTGAGCTTCATTTAATCTTTCAATTAAAAGCTCCCAAAGCAAATCACTCCTACTCCTAATAATTAAACTCCTCCATATGGCAAGTAGGCTGAGCAGGATATAACAGCTAACTTGACAATGTCATTTGTGACTTTTATTTAAATGATCAGAGTGAAAAATAAGGTTCATCATTGCAGCACACCTTTCCACTAAAAACATTTTTAAAAACAGACAAAATTTTGACATAAAGGGCAGAATACACTTATCTTCTAA